GTTTTACATCTATACTGTCCAGTCTCTCCTGGTGGACATGGCAACACGTTATTCATGGTTACATACAATTTTAGACTGATGTGGGCCAAAGCCTAAAACAATGTGCCGGGAGTTTGCTGTTCTCCCAGGTTCAGATATTTGAAGTTTGCACAGCTACTTTCTCACCTGAAAATTTTTTAAACGTTTATTTTGCAACCCAGAAAGAGTAATAAGAGGGGCACTGAAATTCGGGATTGTCCGAGAAAAAACGGGAGGGTTGGCATGTATTGCCTTGCATAGCCTGTAACGTTATTATGATGGACAGATTTTATGAGTGAACTTGACTTTAAGTGACTTACAGGTTTCTTTGAAAAATACTTTCTTATATCCAGGTTCATCCTCCTCTCCTCCTTGCAGGTCCTGGCAGCGCAGGATTGCCGCTGCTAAAACTAAACAGAGCTCCCTGAAAGGCACAGCCAATCACATTGGCCATATTTGTCACATGATATAGGACTCCAGTAGAGAACGTAATTTAACTCTTTCTGCACCGCTGGGTGAATGAGACGTTGACAGATCGCTTTTTTTCTATCGGTTTTGTTTTTCTTTACTCGAAGAGATCAAATTATTGGTGGGGACAATTCAATAATCGCTGGATATTGGTGGGGACATGTCCCTTCCGTCCATGCCAAATCTACGCCCTTGATCCCACACCACTAACTGTCAGTGTTGGATTTAAACTTTCCAAATCTCCTCATTTCCCAGATTCCCCGGAACTATATAATATAAGCAACATGGCAACCTTTGGCTTTACCGAGGTGGCACTGACCCAGCTGGTGGTGGACGGGGTTAAGCTACTTACCATCATGGAGAAAAGGCTGGAAGGCAACCTGAGTATAGATGAGCTTGTTCCTGCACAGAAGTAGACACATTAGGAAGACAAGTGGCTGAAGGAATACTAGCAAAAAGAAATGATTGCTAAGAAGACTATGGAAAAAATATACCTTGCCTACTTTGATCAAGATAAAGATTAGGTTGACAAAAGTTTTACTTTACAATGGGACTTCACGATGGATTAAAAAACAGATGACATGAATGATGTCAGTATTACCTAATGGATCGCACAACCCTGCAATTACAAAGAGTAATGTATTTATTTTACAGAGAATACGTGTCTGATGGAAAACAGCAAGAAACAAATCCTTCACAAGGCACTCACTGAAATCATTTTAATCCTTATTGACTGTTATTGGTGCACAGTAGGAGACTGTTTGACTTTTTTAAATAATTTCATTATTTAATATATATTTGTTCTAAACAGCTGCTTAGAACAGCGGGCAAAGCAGAAAACCAAAGAAGTATTGGTTTGGATCAGCACATGAGATTTGTTCGCCCTGAAAAAATATAGAGTATCATCTGTAATTGTTTCAAATATGCATGAAAGTAAATTTGCTTGCTGAATTGTAAATGCATTTAACATCCCAGTGGTGTGGCTGTTGTTTACACTCTTCAGCAGCAGCATACACATTAAGATGTGAAAGAAAAAAAAAATCTACATTTTTCTGCTCTCTGCGCCTATGAATAAATTTACTCAAACATGACTCTCAACCATTATATTGGCACTTTATCTGGAACCACCAGATAGTGTGACAAGGGTGACAGGGAGGCTGACAGGAGGTCACAGTGTGCCTAATTTTTTTCATAGAAAAATTTTACATGTTCATATTTTTTGCAGAAGAAATCAAAGAAGAAGTAAATTTTCCTTAATTATTAACTATATCACCTTTCCTTGGATTTCTGAAAAAGCAAGCATTATATTATTTTTCAAACATAATCAAAGATTTGTCCAAACATGGCTATTTTAAAATTTATGTGAGATGTTTTTATATTTATATTTAAAACTGTTTTAACGATTACCTATTCATTTAGATAAGAATTACTTTCTAATAAAAACTGGAGTTGTGAAACATTAGTGGCCAAAACTTGAAAGGTTGTTAAAATTTAGGACTGGGTGAAGTTGCAAATTGGAAAGTAAGTGTAATTA